TATAAAACGCACGTGCACTTTTTTTTTTTATAAATAAGATGATGAACTTACTTTCATGAATTGCTAAGCTCCTGGCTTCTTCGTAGACCGGGTCGAGACGGATTTGTTGCTGCGTTTGTCTTTTACTTTTCCCTGCAGATTGTGGCATACAATGGACAGACCCCCCGATGCACAGCAGGAGCAGAATCCTCTTTACTGAGACACGGGTCATTTTCACCTGCTGCCGAGAACAAGTGTGTCAATGTGCAGTATTTTCTGTTGCGCACTAAAGAGGAAGGCGCGGAGAGGTTCGCAGAGGCTGACTGTCTTTGCGCACGGTTGTATTTCAGCTGCCTTCCCCTGACTGTACTGAACCTCCGCCGTCCACCTGATGTAGGACGAGTGCTCTTTTAAAGGGGGATTTTATCCAGCCCAGTGTGGAGAGAGAAAGAGGGTGAGAGAAAGCGTGTAGGGGCTTGAGGGGAGGGATCTCTCACCCTCTTCAGTCTCTGCGTCAATGTCGGGAAATTTGGCACAACGCAATTATCACCTGCGCAGTCATGAACCCGCAGGTAACTGTCATCTAGAGTTCAGAGTTATTCAGAGTTGAACAAGTTCTATTAACATAAGACATATTTTAGGTTATCTAATATTTATATAAGTGCAGGCAATAATAATAATAATAATAATAAATATTTAGGCCTATAGAAATGCATTTTAATGAAGGAAAATAAAAATAAAACAACAATATTCATAAAATATTAATATTTAATACAAATGATATATTAAACATCAATGTCACGAATATTAACTAACATTTATTACACAAATGTATTTAAAATACATGATTTAAAAATTGATTAATTAAATAATATATGATCTACTTCATGTTATTACTAAATTAATTATAATTATATACTATTTATACATTCTAACATTTTTACAAACATCAGAGCAGCTCATGTAGATTCCGATTACTAATTAAAGATATTTTAAAGCAACAGCAATATTTATATATTGTTTTGACATATATTGACAAATGTGCTAACTTTTCTCTAAGCTTTTATGTTTTTTAAATTGGTTAGCTTAAGATTTATCCTTCATGCTGAATAAAGTGGAAAGAGAGCAGAGCGATTCTGGGCAGACTACTTACACATCATGTCTTGTGTTCTTTTTTTATGGATGGAAAATATGCAGTGTTGCTGGTGCACGTTTTTGTCTAGCCTGGGTGATTCTGGAAGCAACTGAGTAGAAAGGGAAATAGCTGCTGGCGACAAAAAAAAAAAAAAGATTTAGTACTGAGGCCCATGTGAACATTCACTTACAGGAACTGATGTCCAGTACCTGGTGTCCATGTATGCATGTGACTCAATATTAAACCTAATTTCCCACAATGTCAGTGGTCTGCTGCTGCAAGTTTGTTCAGTTTTGTCATCCAATGCTTTCCTTTTCACATCTGTGAAACACAGAAGGTTTTTTTAGTTATAATCTGAGAAGTTCAAGCATGCTGTCTGTATGTAAGCCTTTATTGTATTCATGATGTATGCAGTTGTGCTGTTGAATTTTGTAAAGCTGGCAGGACTTGTTTGTTTATTGTTACTGTTTTACTAGTTTGCTTGCTGTAAGGTGACCTTGAGTGTTTAGAAAGGCGCCATTAAATAAAAATGAATTATTATTATTATTATTGCGCATTCTTGCGAACTCACAGAAAAGCATACTGTAAATGCAAACATAAACAATCTTAATGCAACAAAGTGAATCCTAAAAACGCTCACCTGCTGGTTTGGATTTACACTTGACTCCTGAAGCCCCCTGACAAGTGCAGATCAAAGTGCTGTCCATGTACTGGCGCTCCCACTGATCGTTCATCCTATAAAATCGACCGTTGTCGTTGCACCCATCTAAAGTAAAAAAGACACTGTTTACATATTCCTATATAAAACACCTATACAGTCAACTTTTTTTCTTGCACAGTGGTCATATATATATATATATTAAAGCAACAGCAATATTTATATATTGTTTTGACATATATTGACAAATGTGCTAACTTTTCTCTAAGCTTTTATGTTTTTTAAATTGGTTAGCTTAAGATTTATCCTTCATGCTGAATAAAGTGGAAAGAGAGCAGAGCGATTCTGGGCAGACTACTTACACATCATGTCTTGTGTTCTTTTTTTATGGATGGAAAATATGCAGTGTTGCTGGTGCACGTTTTTGTCTAGCCTGGGTGATTCTGGAAGCAACTGAGTAGAAAGGGAAATAGCTGCTGGCGACAAAAAAAAAAAAAAGATTTAGTACTGAGGCCCATGTGAACATTCACTTACAGGAACTGATGTCCAGTACCTGGTGTCCATGTATGCATGTGACTCAATATTAAACCTAATTTCCCACAATGTCAGTGGTCTGCTGCTGCAAGTTTGTTCAGTTTTGTCATCCAATGCTTTCCTTTTCACATCTGTGAAACACAGAAGGTTTTTTTAGTTATAATCTGAGAAGTTCAAGCATGCTGTCTGTAGGTAAAGCAAAAGAAGAAGACATTCATAAACTCTAATTTTTCAATTCAACTTTTCACTAACAATGTATGCTAATATAATTTGTAATAAAAAAGGTTATAAATTATAAAAGAATGCAAAATAAGAGTATCGCAACTCTCCTACCATATAAAATAACATATGACATATTAGTATGACATTTTGACATACTTTGATCAGAATCAATACCAAAGAGCAGAATAATAAAATTTCATAATTTTAATTTTAAAATGTCTTTATTAAATATATATTCTATACAATTGTATTTATTGTGAAAAAATGAAACGCATTTTTGTAATAAAATACATATTTGAAATACTTGAAATATTTATTAATCAATAAATAAATCAATACATCAATAAATAATGTAATACATCCATTATTATTATTATTATTATTATTATTATTATTATTATAATTATCATCTATTATTACTGAATTCATATTGGTTTGTAATGATATTTTCTATTATAATTATACACTCTTTATATATTCTATATGTTTACAAACATCAGAGCAGCTCATGATTCCAGTGTGAATATATTAAAATATATTCAAGTTTTACTTAATTATAGATCTTTTAAAGCATAAAGCAATTCAGTGTTACACTAAATGCTAATATAATTTGTAATTATATAAAAAAAGTTATTTTAAATTAGAAACAAATACAAAATAAGAGCATTTCAACTTGTGGCCTTCCGCTGTATACAGCGTAATTCTGCTTTTTATGACTTCACGTCACAACTGGCCAATCAGAATCAAGCATTCCACAGAGCACCATAATAACATTTTATATTAGACAAGGAAAAATCATCATTTCATTTATTTACTAGAAAAAGTCACCAATTAACCCCCTAATGCTGCATTAAAGTGAATTTAAAAACAAAAAAAATCTTACCAGCCCCAAACTTTTGAATGGCAGTGTACATGTCATTCACATGATCTCTTATTGCCAAAGAGCTCATAATCATAAATCATAAATCATAAATAATTATCATAATTTATTTGAAAACAGTTAAGTGCTATGAGAAGAAACAAATATTCCCAATTTGTACTTCAAATTTCCCTGTAGAGGAATGATTTCATGCATCCAGGTAATTTAGGACATGCTTTTCAATAAACATGAAGGCAGATGCTCCCAGACTGAAGTTTTCAGCTTGAACTTCGATTTAGACCCGGACTTGTGAGGTGGAATCATATCTGGAGCCCACATATTTTAGCGAGGTGGAGTGGTTTTTCATGTTCTTGCAGGAAGGAACAGAGATCGAGTTATCTGGGCAGTCAATGGCATTCACACATTCGTTCACCACTGAATTCACCTGCAGTTTCATAATATGAAACAGTTATGTAAAAGTGATTTCAACCTTTTATGTCAGGGCTTCTCATTTGTGGTTAACTTGTGGTTGAAATGGTTTTTATCTCATGTCCTGCCAGGACCAGGTGGGAGTACATTTACGGTCAGAAGGATAAAGCCAGAGAGACACTGTCAACCTTTTTAGTTTAGAAGTGAAATGACATAACAGGCCGTGACTCAACGACAGACAGCTGATCTCATCAAGACAGAGATACAGCCTCTACACGTTTTTGCCTCCAGCTTTTCCCCCCCTGTATATTCTGTGCAAAACTGCAGTCTCATCCCTTTTTTTATGAGCTGGAGAATCAACAGAGGATTAGCTATTTAAACAAAATGTCATTGAGAAAGCCTTGCTCTGGTGTATTGTCGCATAACAGAGTGGATCTATGTAGAGTTAGTTTAATATAAAGTCAGTGTGATACATCGTTGTGTACATCCACTCCGTAGCACTTTTGTTGAACTTTTCCCCTCAAGACTGATGCAAAACAGGACTTCGCTGACAGGGCTGCCTGATGTTTTTCGAAGGCTTACAAGCCCTCTACTTCTTTTAGTGCAACAAGACATTTGCCTTCTCTTTTATAGATGTCTTTAGTCAGAAAACTGTTGAGTCACTTCAATTGAGCTAAAATGCTGTTCAAATGCCAGTTGCTACTGCAATAAGTATATAATTGACAAAAATGTCTTCCATATGTCTGAAATACACAATCCTCCCAGGATAATTTTTTTTTTACATTATCTATTTAAAATATGCATTTTTGGTTCTATTATCTAGTTTTGACTTTGTTCAGAGACATTTCTTCACAAATGAATCAGATAAATTGACTCAGCACATCGTGTGACAAACAGTTATGGATATTTGGGTCTTTCTCCAGTAGACGGTAAATAATCTTTACTTGTATGACAAAAAATAGCATTTCTAGGGTGCTTCCAAGAGCACTGATATACTACATGGTATGTGTACTGGAGCAGGGCTGGAACTAAAGAGGTCCTCCAGGAACTAAGTTTGACACCCGTATTCTAAAGCATTTGAAGGGGTGGTTGATTGCGATTTCACTTTTTTAATGTTAGTTAGTGTGTAATGTTGCTGTTTGATCATAAACAATATCTGCAAAGTTACAAAGCTGAAAGTTCAATGCAAACAGAGATATCGTCTTTTAAAATTCTGGCAGTTTAATGCCTACAAAAACGACTGGTAAGGGACTACAACGAGTTACTTCCCAGGTCCGTTACATCAAGAACCCAGAATTTTACATAAACCCCGCCTCCGGGAGGGCGAGGCCATGCTGCGCTGCTTTAGAGAAGAGGAAGAGAAAGCTAGGGGTGCACGTAAAAATCTATTCATATATGAATCGCGATTCTGTCTTCTAACGATTCTAATGGATTTACAAGTTTTAAAATGTTCTAAAGCAGCATTCTCATCCTGTTCCTGGCCTCGCCCTGCTCTGCACACGCTCTGCATCTCTCTCTCTCTCTCTCATTCAGTC